TATAGTAGTTATAGTATATATATATATATATATATAGTTGTGTGTGTGTGTGTGTGTGTGTGTTGTGTGTGGTTATGTATATATATATATATATATATATATATATAGATACATATGTATGTATTTATGTATGTATTTATGTATGTATGTATGTATGTTTTTACGTATGTATGTTTTTACTTATGTATATGCATATGTTATATATATATATATAATAATAATAATTGACACGCGTATGTATGTAGATATGTACAACATTTGTATTGACAGCTGTAGTGTGCCAGTGTATTTAAAGATTGTGCGCTTGTAAATGCGTGAGCCATAAGTCATGAGTAGGCGACTGTATTGGTTATATAGAATGTCTACGAATGAAACCAAGTGGATTTGTATTTGAACCAATCAGAAGTACGAGAAATAGCGCTTAGGCAGGCCTTGTAGCCATGGTCATCGTTAAGTGCCCAAGAATAAGTATTCGATTCTTTTCCCGTGTCCGTGAGGTGTAACGTATTTAATTGCCCATTAAAATATTACAGTTGCACTTCATTGTCCCTATCAGTAACTGGTATCCTGTCAGGGTAATATGTGAGGGCAGCTTGAGTATCTATACCGCCTCATTGGTATATATATAAGCATGTGTAAACATCTATCATTGTATATATATATACTTACTATTCGAACAACACCCTCTCATCTACTTACCCATATGTACACTGTTCTATAAATAGCACGCAAAACTCCGGCTGCGACCAATGGCAAGAAAACAAATGTCCCTGCGGATGCTGCCGATGTGTCGCAATTGGATACAGATATGGATGGTCTGGGCCTAGCTGCTAATATCCCTCAGGTAGGCGACTCGAACACAGGGCACACTAGCAAGTGTGTGTGTTTGAATGTATGTGTGTTTGTTTGTGGGATGTGTGTGTGTGTCATGTGTGTTTGATATGTATGTGTGTTTGTTTGTGGGATGTGTGTGTGTGTGTCATGTGTGTATGTGTCATGTGTGTGTGTGTGTGTGTGCAAGGTTATAAACAACGGGCTTGTCGTAGACATACGCACAAGTGTACACACTCGGAGAGGGAGGGAGATGTCGTAGCTATGATATACTTTTCAGCAAATCTGTGTGTGTCATGTGTGTGTGTGCATGAATGTAGATGACGAGCTTGTAATTGCAATAGAAATACCTAGCAGTGTACACTAACAAACGTGTAAATACTCAATGTGTGTGTATGTGTGTACTGAATAAGTACTCAATGTGTGTGTATGTGTGTACTGAATAAGTACTCAATGTGTGTGTATGTGTTTACTGAATAAGTGTGTGTGTGTATACTGAATATGTGTGTATATACTTCCCAAAAAATTTAACGTGTTGCAACAGTACAGGGGCTCACGTGCCCTATGGAAGCGAGCAATGGACAATGCGTTCAAAGTTGTATACCATAAAAGTCTTGGTATTTTGTATGTGCATGAACACCCTGTACGTGTTGGTATAGTTTTAGCACCAAGCCTTTCTTCACCATTGATAGTAGTATAAGTACTTATTTTCATACGTTCATATTACATGTACTGGATGTGTTCTAAGCCGGAGGCTGTTTTCCCGTGTGGAATGTAGTATACGTATTGTTATTTTAATATACGTACGAATTGCAAGTACGTATATATATATGTTCCAACACCAAGCCGTTTTCCCGCATGGATTGTAGTATATGTACCCTTCTTTTCATACTTACAGTTATACGTATGTGTGCTTACACCAAGCCGTTTTTATCCCATGTATCTCACAGCCAAAACCGGTAAAGGTCAAGGCGGCTAAGGGTCGCAAGAAGATCGACATCGCCGCAGCTTACGAGGAGAGGCAAAAGAATGAGAAGACAAAGATCTGTCTGGTGGTCGTTGGTAGGTGGCAGGGTTTCTGTTGGACATTTTAGGGTTGTAAGGTTCTGGAATTTTGCCATAGCTTTCGTTTTCTGTTGGGTATTTTAGGGTTGTAGCCTTAGTAGTTTTGGGTTTAGATGTTTGCTATTTTCTGTACAGAGACAAAGGGAAGGAGACACCGAAGATTTGTCGGGTGGTCGTTGGTATGTGGTGGTTTTCTGTTGCTTATTCAAAGGTTTCAAGTTTTTAATGTTTCAGCTGTTTAGGCTTTAGGACTGTCGGGCTTTAGGACTTTTCGACTCTAGGACTTTAGGACTTTAGGGCTTAAGACTTTTGTACTTTAGGACTTTTTGACTTCAGGACTTTTGACCTTTAGGACTTTTAGACTTTAGGGCATTATGACTTTTGGACTTTAGGGCTTTTGGGTTTTTGGGCTTTTAGACTTTTAGACTTTAGACTTCAGGGCGTTTGGACTTTTGGATTTTAAGGCTTTAGGCCTTTATGACTTTTGGACTCTAGGGCTTTAGGACTAGGGTTTTAGGGTTAAGCTACCTTTGACACGCGATACTTTGTCCCATAGCACTAGTGTGTGTGTGTGAGGCTGTCATTTTAACTTTTTGGGAAGTATACTTTTTTGTTGATGTTTGTGAAAGTGGTCGACCCAAATTAAAGCTGAAGCCGTTGAGCGAACGAACTTTTGCACAGCAAGTGGGAAGTCGGTAGCGTTTATATACTCAACGTTTTCTGGGCTTTCCGCAAATCTCAGGAATGAGTGTGACTCGAAAGTATAACATTTGGGATCTTACCGTACAGAAGTACACCACAGACCCGTTGCATATGTAACGGCTAATATTTAACGTATACTCTACTCGCTTACGTTTAATTAGGGCATGTGGATGCGGGCAAAAGTACGTTAATGGGACATTTATTGTACAAAGTCGGCAAAGTCGATAAACGTACCATGCACAAGTACGAGAAAGACTCGGAGAAGATTGGCAAGTCATCCTTTGCCTTCGCCTGGGTACTAGACGAAACGGGCGAAGAGAGGGAACGGTAAGTATGCCTGGAGTACTATGTCTGTATGTAGATACTTACAAACATATATATTTATATTTATATTTATATTTATATATGTATATGTACGAGTATATAAG